ACAACTATTCCAACATATCTTCTCATGGAAGCATATATATTAAAAATCGATGATAAAATCAAAGTGCCAAGTTTCATCTAGTCTTGCACAAATTTTGTAAATATAAAATTTTGCGAGACAACAATCATTTACAACACAAGCATTCGCAATAATCAACCACTATTGAGAGAGAACAACCAGGAATAAAACAACAGAATACAGCAATTCCATAAACTATAGAATAGAATGACAGGAAGCGGGAGTGAATAATATAGCTTTGCATACCAATGGCAGGGGTATAGGATGCAGATTGCAACAATACCTCTGGAGCTCGATACCTAGCCCGAAAGAATTAATCAAATTTAAGATAAACATTGATACTTTTCATAAAAAAAAAAAAAAAAAAAAAAAGAGAGAGGTGCATTGGCTTCGATAACTTGCCAGCGAGTAGAAACATAGTCAGTATAAGGAGGCGTAGATGACAATTCTCTAGCCAGTCCGAAGTCAGCTATCTTTATTGTGTTATTTGTAACCAGCAAATTCTCTGAGAGTAGAAGGATTTCAATTAATTAAATCTATGAAATTATTTCTATAAAGCAAAAGCTTGTCAATTATGATGCAGAGAAAGCCTTAATAAATTAATACCAGGTTTAAGATCCCGATGAAAATATCCATGTTTATGGACATGTGCAAGTCCTTGCAGCACCTGAGACATCAGAACTCGAATCTCTTCCTCTGAGAAAGATCTTTGCTGATCTTTCATTATTTGGTATAAGTTGTGTTCCTGGAAATATAGTTATATAAATCTCATGATCAAGAAGGTATTATAAAATTTTCATTGGTGATATTATTTTTTTTGATGAACTTTAAAGTCAGATCAAGACATACAGTCTTAGGCCTATTATTGTCTATAAAGATCAATTTTCATCAGAAAGAAGAGGACAAACGGGAACAAAACTAAGCATGACTTGGGAGTATATAAGTGAAAAGGAAAATCAAAATAAATTTCAAAGAAAGTGAAGTTTAAAGAATTTTCTGTATTTATGCCACAAATTAAATCAAAGGAATGTGAACTATTTATAGCTTCACATGTTTACAGAGATCCTTTGCCCATACATTGTAAAAATATGCCGCATAAGTTCTAACATGTATGGAATGAAAAGAACAAAGGACGAAAGTAAGAAACAGAAAATAATTTGCAAAAGAGTAAATGAAATCGCATGATATACCATGTACTCGAATATGAAGAAAAGCTCATTGTTTTGTCTGACAATCTCCAACAATTTTATGATGTTTGGATGATTTAATCTGCGGAGGGACTACACATAAGAGGAAATAAGAAGTGTTAGCCAAAGTAAGTTAGAGTGCCCTCCATATAACAAGTTCCATCAGCTTCAAGAGAAAAGCCACCATCAATTGACTCAAATACCTTTACTTCCCGTAGGTTTACACATTCATCCCAGTAATAAAACTTTCTCTTCATTTTCTTGACAGCAACCTGCAACAGATCCTATAAGTTAAGATGGGCCGCTTTTCATATAACATTACATATTAGATGTTACATTGAGTTGCCTATTCTGTAACATATTCTCACTGTAGAACTTCACAAGAAAATAGAGAATAAATGAAAGAGGGTGAATTTTGCTCACAATCTCAGATGTTTCAATATTTACGGCTTTATATACACTGCCGCATGTTCCATCACCAAGCTCGTCCAAAAATTTATATCTGAAAAGACAAGGGAAAGAAAACAGCCCCGTGAGGTTCACAAACTGCCAGAAGAAAGTCTTACCAGTTGCGTTTAAATGAGTAGTAGTAGGAAAATACTCACTTTTCCATTCTTAGATTTACAAAAAAACTGGACTGTCGAAGTTAGCTCAATAGAGTTCTAATCTTTTCAAAGAGGTTCTGTACACTTTTTGAACAGTGTTCTTCTGCTGTATGAGCACATCTATGCTTACATCCACCAAATAATACAATATGTAATAGAGTGCGGGCTTCTCATTGTACGAATGATTAAATATCAACCAAAATGATATCAACATGCTTATGTGCAGCCTTTACTAGCTGCAAGCACAGATTATCATCTAAAAACAGCTACCGTCTCCTTGCGCACCCTTCCTAAAAACTTGAGCAGAGTGTTCAAATTTATCTAAATCATCAGCAAGAAACTATCCAGGCACCTCAAATTTCATCCACCTGTCACAATTTTAAAAAATCAAATAAGCAAACAACCGAAAAAAAAAATTTAACCCAAAGAAAAATACACTTGCCTATTGGAAATTTATAAAAGACTAAACCGACTGATATGTTGATTCTAGCCTTCAGAAAGATTCCACTATTAACTATATCAGCCAATTTCTGCCAAAATTAACCCTAGAAAATCTTGCAGATATCAGATAAGTGCATACAGCAACTGCATATAAATAAATAAACCTTCAAATAAATTGCGACTAAAAAAAATAGAAATCTAAATTCAGAGGTAATGTTTTCCAAAAATGTTGGAGGTAACCAAGAACACGATTTCGGTAATCTAATATTCAGGTGAAATTTTAATCAAATTCCGGCCTATAGTATACAATCAACTCATTTATTGAAAAAATAGATTCACATGTAACATACTAATTTCAAGGGCAAACACTGAAGGGAGGAGAATTAAAACTAGATCAGCGAGAAAATTCAAGTCGGAGAAAAACATAGGGCTAACAACCACGATCAGCTAAAACATAATTAAAAAATAAAATTAAAACTTAGAAGCCAATTGAACTCACCTAATATGGAACTGTTAACACGCCATGACTGAAAGAGGAAGATCTAGAGAGAGAATATATGTGCGTATAGAGAGAGAGAGAGAGAGAGAGAGAGAGAGAGAGAGAGAGAGAGAGAGAGAGAGAATTGGATATTCGGATCAAAATGCAGAAAGAAGACAGGTATCGTTGAAAACAAAGGGAGAAGGAGGAAAAGAGGAGAGAGAGAGAGAGAGAGAGAGAGAAAATTGAATTAACGGAGCTATGTATGTATGTATGTTATCAATATATAAAACAGAAATTCCGCAGAAATAGCGTTGGAGAAGAAAACCCAAACGCATAATATCAAATTAATAATTAATAAATAATATAATATGCAAAAAGCATGCTTTTATTTAGGAAAATATAAAACAATGTGGAAGGGGGTGAAGGGGAATCGGTCCTGGCACTGAATGACGAAATTACCCTTCTTAAGTGCGAATATTACCTATTAGAATATGGATGGAGTGGAATTAATTTAGTCACGAGACTTCCCTAAAAAAGAAGACTGAGGGTAAATTTGACCACAGGAAATCGTTGGTGCATATCTAAGTAGAATATTACTTTCTCATGAAGACTTAATTAAAATAATTATCAAAAAAAAAAGAAGACTTAATTAAAAATTTAAAATTCTACTTACTTTCTCATCAAGACATAATAAAAAAAAAATCTTAATGACAAATATATTCAAATATCAATTTGTTATAAAATTTGTAAATAATTCCCTGAATAATAAAATAGGGCAAATTACGGCCTCCGGGTAAAGTTAAATTACGGAAAAAATCTATCATGTTTGGATAATTACAATCACCCTCAATTATGTATTGTCTATTGAATGAAGCGTTTTTTTCGTTAAAAAATACATAATCAGGGTGGTTAGTTTTAATTATCCAAATACATATGATTTTTTTTCGTAATTTAAACTTATTTCAGAAAGTGACCGTAATTTCTGGATAAAATACAAAAGTATGCAAGTAGGAATGTAGGATAGCTTGGATCATTGGGAGTAGCCCGTTGGACCACCCTCTTAGGTGGACCCAACTTGTATATATTATTATTATTATGTTGGTGTCGGACTTGTGTTGGGCTATGTATATTAGACTAGGTTAGCCCAATTACCCGGATTCGATCCGACCCCAACCCGGCCCGTTGACTGTTGACCCACAACATTTTGTTTAAACAATTTTATTAGCTTTAAAATATTTCAACAAATATAATTATTTTTATATAAATGTATTACCATTGACCAAAATAAAATTCTATTACATATCACTCCAATATCATAGTACATTGTCCAAACCAAAACTATATATATTCACATATATATATATATACAAATCAAGGCTCTACAATGATCTTGCCAGTAGCATGGCCAGCAATGCCCTTACTCCAAGCCACCTCAGC